TACAGCGAATAAGTTTCGCAAGTGTAAATAGGTAATAAAACTTCATTTTTTTTCAAAACTTCAATTAATCTCAGGTGCCCTTTAACAGAAATTTAATTGGCGACTTAATTACCGCGTTATTGAATGCCGTAAATTAAAAATGCACGCCGGCTTACCGAGGTGCATTTAATATTGAGAAAATTGAGAGGCCACGCAAAGGAGAAACGATGCGGCGCTCTGATTTTTATCAGACTGGTATACTTCAGATTCACCGGGGAATCCCTAGTCGACAGAAAGAGCGCGCAACGCTCGCAGCATCCTTGTATACCGTCGCAAATCCAAAATCGCTATACGATGTTCGATAATAGTTCTCCCACGAGTATCGCGAGATGCGCGTTTCCAAAGCCTGCCGTTCGCCGCACGAAGGAAGAGAAAGCGAAATGCGAGAGAGTCCTGAAATTGCAAGAGGTGAGGCGAAAAGTGAGAGAAGGAAGGTGTCGGGAGGGACGGGGGCATCTCGCATGCACTTGTGTGTGTGTGCGCGTGTGTGTGGAGGAGAGGAAGTATGTGTTTGTGTAGGACGAAGGGCAAGAGTGGAGTGGGAGGTAGGGCAGGATGGGAAAGAGGAATGGGGAGCGTACTAATCACTTCTACGGACTTTAATGGAGGTTTTCTGTACGCCGTCTACTTTGTCCACGACTTATACTACTTCGAACCCCGTTGGAGCTCGACGCGGAGCATTTGATAGAAAAAGCGGGCGGAAAGTAGCGTTACGTGTATTAAACTAAGCGGCACTCTCGCCGACCGCGCTCGCGATTCCCTTATCTTGCGAAAAAGCATTTAACGACGCGACGCGCCGCGTCGCGCCGGCGCGACGATAAATTCCGCGTCGAACTTGAAGAAGGCGACACACGCGCGTAAGTTACAATGCTTCATGCCGTATACGATTGCAATAAGAAATAATAGCTCTTCGAAAAGAGCTTCGTTTCTCTCAATTCGGACTGTATATAAGATAAAAAAAAATCACTAAAATATATCGCTTCTTTACTTTAAAAGTGACACAGCTAAAATGATATGATTTCGAGTTATTATCATGAATGAGTTAAACAAATTACCTTATCAATTTAAAAAACTGACCTAATTTCTTTAAAAAATCATTACGACTCAAAAAGGGTGAGATTAAAAAAAAATCGTTAAAATTGTCATAACTAAAAGAGAGTGAATTTTTGAGGGTTGTGAAACGAAAATGGCAAAAGTAACATTTGATTATATAAAGAATATATTCTTTTTGTAAATATTACTTGATTAGTCAATTTTCTATCAAGTTTTGTGAAAAATAATTTTTTTCCTTTTCTAGGAAACTTTTGTAGCTAAATCACTTTTGAAGTACAGGAGCAATGTGTCCCATAATAATGAGATAGAAATTTTTATATACGCAAGAAGAATTGTTTTTACTGAAGTATCTAAAATTTAGGTAGATACCTATAGATTTGATAAGAATTTTATTGGACGATCAAAATAATTATGTAGGACACTCAAAAGTTATTAGAATAACACAACTTTATGCAATCGTTGCTTGAGATTGGTACGTAATTATTTTGATGATTTTCACGAAATTGTGTTCAGACCTGTGTCTGGCTAAATTTTTAGCCTACAGCAGAACCATGTATAATGCAAATAAAACAGAAAGTCACTTTAGAGTCGAGAATTTTAAATGGCATACTTTGCAATTCTGCAATAATTATTCAATCAACATCGATATTCGCGCGGCGTGTCCGATGTGTTCAACTTTTTACGAAAGTCTTGAGAAACTGTACGTCGTAGCATTTGGGAAGGGGAAATATTCTAAATCTGTGCTCGCCTGTCCTTCGCACCTGCGCGCGCGGAAATAACCGCTGGGGATGCTGCGGATTTGGAGTGACGCAGCCCGACAGCATCGACGCTCGCGCACGGCGCGGATACTAAGAGCTTTTCTGGAAAAGCAGGGCTCCATTAGCCGACTCGCCTGTCTTCTGAGTCCATTACAAGATGAGCCGCCATCCTCCCGAATGACCTTCTCCACTCCACCCGCCTTTCCAACTCCCTCACTGACACGTCGCGATCTACACACATTGCTTTGTAGCAAATTCGCTTGCTTCCAATCTCCCTCTTTCTCTCTTTTTCTCTTCTCGCATCCTCCTTCCTTTTACATATACACACACATATATATATATATAATATATTGCACTAGACCGTAAACACGCAATTTAAAAGATCAATCCTGTTCTTCGACATAAAGGACGGCCCAGCGTTTCTGAGGAATCGACGAAGGCGAACCGCACACGAATTTCATACGAGACCATGTTCCAATATTGAAGCACTGTGCACAAACAATGTATACTACTGTGTGAACACGCGGACTTAAAGAAAAGTACGAGCTGGACAAGATGGGGAAATTTTCTTC